ATGATTTTATTTTAAACAGGGTACATACAGCATGTAGATTGCAAACACTGTGCGCAAAGGCGTCTGCAGGTCGGGTTTAAAATGGTTTGGAAAGTTAAACGTTTTTTGAAACCGAAAAATAACCTTCGTGCCAGTCTAGCACGCGTAGAAGACGCAATTCGCTACCAATGGGTTGCAAGAGAAATACCTTCGTGCATATATTCCATAAAATGTAATCGAACTTAAATAGCTATTAAAAACCAGGAATTTTGGTCATGTTACTTAAGCAGTCATTTCTTTATCGGATGCGGTCCTTGCAAGTGACGGAAAAGAGGCCAATACGAAGATTATTTTTGAATTGACTGGAATATTTTTAGATTACGCAGCAAGTCGATCAATATTATAGGTCCGCCTTAATCATATTTTCTAGTAGGAACCATTTCAGAATTCCAGTAAACAGTTTGTGAAATGGACCCATGACTGTATATTGGAAGTTTTCTACTTCTCAATATTCTAGACTGCCTTGCTTTTTGCGTCATTCCGTTCGTCATTTCCGTTCTTCGGAGTATCTTCACGACTGTACAATGCTCCTTTAGAAAAGCGAAAGAAGATGAAAAGGCTCATTCGAGTCTATTGATGCAGGAAGTCGATGACCTAGAACAGTCCGCCACCGCTAAGAAATTGGAGCTCGAGAACATTCGGCAACAACTCTCATTGACATCTCAGCGACTTGCGGACCTCCAATCACAGGTTTCCGAGTTTGAAGCACAAAAGAGAGAACGTGAGGACGACCTCCAAGAAGTTCTTAAGACTTTGGAGGAGAAGCGGGGTCTTCTGAGACACACAGAAAATAATCTATTGGATGCTTCTCGCAGGTGAGATGAATTGGCCAAGTTACTATTACTCTCCCTAAAGTATGCGCATTTTCTGCTCATAAGTGCAGAGAGAATTCAAGTACCAAAATCTTTCAAGCCTTTAGGGGTTTAAAGTGTTTCAAATCAATAATGGAGCCGCAGCTCACTGTTTAAACAGGTTCATGTGCTTGGTGTTCGGCTTCATTCTTTCTATTAGTGCTACTCATTGCTTTTCTGATGGAGATATTTGCGCCTATTGATTAACTGTGCCTGAGCATTTAGTCAATGCTGAATGAGATCTACCCCGTGTTCCCGTGTTTTGAACTTCAAACTAAAGGATGAAGAAGTCCAATTGGTGAGCTTTCAGTAAATTCTCGTCGACCCGCACATTTATTTGGGAACAGGGTGAAAGGTAAAAAATGCAGTCAATTATGTTCGTGTTGAAATACAAGTAAGTAATGGGAATAGGCTGGGGGTGGTGGCGTCCGAAGGAACGTTTATCGGGTCTGGACAATATACAAACATTGGAATTTCGTGCTTATCCAAAAGAAACGCAGTCTAGTGCGTTGCTTGTCGCAAAGGAAAAACCTTTTTTTGGCAAACAATAGCGCGGAAGAGCTTACAAAGATGCAGATACTATTTCGCGAGAACGGGTATCCTGATAGACTAATTACAACGAATGTGGTCACGAAACCGGTGCAACCCACCACATTTACTGTGGAAAAGAAAACTCTTTACCTCAAAGTCCCTGGCAAGTGAACTTCGGAAAAGACGCTTTGACCAAACCGTATCACCGTATAACCTTCCCAGCAGCAAGAGTTCGGGTCTTAGTTTCTACTAACCCAGTTTTCATGGAGGAGGTAAGGACTAGACTATACCAGACTAAATCCGTGGGCATCTTCTCATTTACTTGCTCCTGTGCAGCAGGTTATATAGGTTGGACAAGTTTGTGCATATCCAAAAGAATAAGGGGAACGGCTCTCGGCATGGCGAAGTTAAGAGCATCAACAACGCTACTATCGCACACATTGTCGATTCAGGGCATCGTCTAGACTCCAGAAAAATCTGCCGTGTTAGTTATAAGGCCCAATCAAAATATCCTAAATCCCTGGGTCAGAGTCTGCTAGCAACAGCAGAAGCGACCGTTATCAGGTTGA